ACTTTTTCGCCAGGTTTGCATCCGTAGGAAACGAAAAAAAACTTATGTCGCACGCTCTCCTTTTGTTTTCACTATTACACTTTGCCACTGCGCACTTCATTTTGCTTTGTACTGTCTCAATAATTGTTTAAAACCACGCAGAAATACTTACGCACAAATATTAAAATTATTATTTACTTTTTTCGTATGCTCACAATCAACAATTGCACCAAGATGACGTCACGCACACAGCTGATTCTTTCAAAATCACAAAGAACGGATTAGCGGTACCGCGATAGGCGCAATCTCTATTTCTCTCAACCGTGGTATTCAGACAACAAAAGTTGGATTAATTTGATATATTGTACTGTGGTTTTGTGTAGCGGTAATAACACTACTAATAACAATTGCATCAAGCAAGCAACACAAAGCTCAGCAAAAATAACTAACAACATAAGGAAGAAAATTGTCAGTCTACTCGTTAATTTATCACAGTATGGGGCGCTTGTCACACGTTCAATATTTATTGTGAAATTTGGATCGTGATCCATATTGTTCAATTCAAAAATAGTAATGGATCGCGCGGGAATTTGTATTTACATGTTTTTGTTGAGAGGTCCAATAGATGAAACCTGGAAATCTTATCTTCATTTTATTTTATTGAAAATCGTCTATACTTTTTATTATATGTATGACGATACCACATCTAATTGGTTCGAAATGCAATGCGAAATGCCGAGTCGTGAATTGATATCACGAAATATGCCACACGTTCAATATTTATTGACAGATCTTTGATCCATGTATAGAGGAAATGGAAAAAAAGCCGGTTTGAACTAGAGATGGACGCGGGATAGCGGACTGGACCAGAATCCTTTCCTGACACTCCCTATAAAACAACCCCTGCATATTCACAAAATCTTCCTTAAAAACGATGTTTGAAATATGCACTTTTAATTTGTTATTGAGGCGAAAACGAATACAAAATAATCGTAAGATGCCAAATCTTTCATTATTATTTTTATTATGTAAAATTAATTTGAAAGACATCAACATTTTTGTCAACCTTCAACCTTTGTTGTGAAAATTGTCGGGATGGGCGGGTTCGGGACTTAAAAATTGAATTTCGAGATGGTCGGGATCGGGATCAAATATTTAGTCCCGTTCCCATCTCTAGTTTGCACAGCAGTTTTTGCGGTGTATTTGGTTTCTTTAGCGCTCCGGTATATGCACTTAAGTCGATTTTTTAAATATTTTTTTTTGTTCTGAGGCTAAGATCCCGTTAAAAAGACAAGAGCTTAAAGCGCGTTTTTATGAAAAGTATATTTTTAAACGCGTGCGTTGCAATAATATGTATGTGTTGTTTTTTGTTTCAAAATTGTTTGTTAAATTCTTCTTTATACACGTATGTATACATGAATAACAATTTATTTATATACGTATGCAAATGTATCTATTATATGAGGCCTTCAGCGTCAGAGTAGCTTAACTGACATTTCAAAAAAAGTTGATTTGCACCTTAAAATGCATTACCAGAATCGAAAATGCATTGCTATCATCACGTAGATGCAATGAATTTTTTAATAAAAGACCGCATTTATTTTTTTATAGATCCTTCTTTCTCATATTACTGAAATTTTTTTTGTAGATATCCTCCTCTGGCCCTCATGGTCTCATATGTAAAATGAATTTGTTTACTTTTCTTTTAATAAAACTTTATTTACCAATGTCTTATTTATGGCAAGTAAACGAGGTTTGTTTTTACAGTTTATTGTATAATAA